AAAGCAAAAACTAGAAAGCTAACACCAACCATGTAGTGTTATTGTTTTAGCTGGGAAAAAACCCCTCGTGTTTAAAAAAATAAAAAATAAAAATTGTAATCATTTTGTCAATGTAAACTGAAAATTAATTATGTCCTTTATTTATATATATAAAGGACAAAATGATTACAACTTATTGAAATAGTGAACTGGAATAAGAAAACTAACTTACTTGATGACTCCGTCCTCCATGTAGATATCAGCCATGAAGGACTGATCATCATTCACGATCTTTGCTCCTTTTACGAGGAGACGGTCACTCTGCAAGTTAGAGACAGTTTTCATTTGATGAAGTATCCATCACATCAATCCAGTTTCCACAGCACTTGTCCTCATCAGGGTCATGGCTGTGCTGACGCATATCCCACTAGACTTTGGGGCAGAAGTGAAGTACACGTGATGACTGGTCTCCAGCCAGTCACAGAGCACACATACCGGTAGATGTAAAATCAACTTCAATCCTACGGCCCATTCAGATGCTTTGGTGAACCAAACATACATGTTTTTAGAATGTGGGAGGAGACCCAAGTAACCGAAACATACAACGCCATGCATGAGAGCTTGACTTGAGCATTGACGCCTGTTTGGGCTAACTCTGTCTCCATCATTAACCCTTCCATGGACAGCGGTTACGACAGTGGACAGATTATCATGTTATCAGGTTACAGGGTGCATGAAAGGGTTAAAAAGAAACAAAAGTGTGAACTGGTGGCCTAAATGTTAATAATGCTGAATTGTAATGCTTTACAACGTTAATATGGGATTAATAACACAGACTGACACTGACTGTTGGATACCAGCATATCCCCGGGCCACTCTATTACATTGTTTGCCATGTTTCCACTGTGATAACAATAACAATAAAAGGACTTGTTTGTGTAATTCAAAATGTCCCCATGTGTATCAGCTTCATTCATTAACTGTACAAAAGCCTCAATGTGAAGCAGTTTAGAATACCCTATTCACTTGGTACAGTAGTAATACAGTTGTAGAGTATTAACACAATAAAACACAAGAATGAAACATTAGCATGGCATTGAAATGCCCAATGAAGAAGTGTAAAACCCAAGGCTCCGCCGGTCACCCACCATGCCATGGCCTGTGAAAGCCCGCCATAAAAAATGATAATAGCCAAATGCATGTGCAAGTACAAGTTATGTCATAAAGGTTCCGGGGCTCCTGTGCCATTTGGTTTGGTCAGAGTTTGACAAGAGGCACTGATTCCAAATCTACGGTCGTTTTTCTCTAGCACATCACGTTTCCATGAAAATCAGAATATAATAACAATAATATAATTCGTCATTTGAATGAATTATGGGTGCAGCAAGAGGTGGACTTTTTCTGAAACGTCATAGCTATAAATTGCAACAGATGGTAACATATGTAAGCTTTTATTGGTCAAATTTAAAAACAAAAATGAAAATATCACACAAACCTTATGTGCTAAGAAAAAGTAGACCTTTTTAAAAACGGTGTCAAAAATGCATTTAGGGAGGAACACGTAAAGCCATCTCAGATTAAGCACTCTTATGTATCACACATAATGTATGTGTGATACTACCTGCACTGTATAATGACAGCCAGAAAAACTAAATGCTCTTCCATTAGATGAAATAAATTACAAATAACCTGTATATCCATCTGTTACCTTTCATACAACACAAATACATTATTACAATATCTAATTATTGCACTTTGTGGTAATAATATACGGACAGAGTTAAGACACTTTGTGCGATTAGGAATTGTAAAGGGATGCACCTGCACGAGATCTGACAGCTACCTGTTGTCAAGAACGGAGACGCACTGCAGGTTTGCCTGCGGTGTTGAAATCACGCCAATGCAAAAAGCACGCCAATGCAACACATTACAAATCGTGTTCACTGTTATTTTATGTCATTATTGCTCCGTCGGCGAGGCTCCAACAGCTGCACGATTAGGGGTTTTTGGATGGGTGTTGTCAAATGACCTACTTAAAAGAGATTTTATTCCAATCGACCATCAACCACGCCATCCATGCTGCGTTTCCCCAACGCTATGCAGTGCGATTTCAAATCTCAAACACGAATTGTAGAATTTGCCCCCGCCCCCCAAGAAAAATAAAAATGATGGTGTTTGGACATATATAAAATGTGAACAGTTGGTGGCGAAAATTAACTACCGATGCCACCGGTGGACGACTAACGTTTGCTAGCTTACCGTCGCGGGTTTAAAAAAAAGGTGGGGTAAAAACACCAATATACTCACGGTGATTCGAGGAATGTTCTTTTTTCCTTGGTAACCTGACATTTTGAGTATCCCTCCAGTGGTCACCTGCCTCTCGGCTAACGCTAGCTAGTAAGACTGGAGAAGCTCAGCAGCCGGTGAAAGGATGAATGGATGCTCAATGGACAGTCGACGCCCAGGGCAATTTGTACCTGTCTGAGAACTCCAATCGATGGTCAGCGCCGTTTGCAAAGTGCTATCTAATGCACAAATTAAAAATGACAGCCACGGTTGGAGAATATCGTTCAAAAATGTTGGAATTCTGTAGGAATGGATCCCACAAGACAACCTCAAGAAAGGGGCTAAATCGCAACGCGCATGCGCAATACCCCACCCTAGTCAGCCTCAGCTCCATATTGTTTTAACCATAAAGGCTCAAGCGATACCTTGAGTACAGTATTAACAGCGAGAGTCCTATTTTCATATTTTTTCTTTTACTAACGTGGAAGATTGTTGAATTTGACTGTAATGTTACTGTTTCATAGTGGCCTAGTTTTACCTCAAAACCTGTTTCACAAGTGTCTAAATCTTTCAGTGAGCACTTCTCCTTTGCCGAGATAATACACCGAACTTAATCACATTTATTTGTGTTGATTAGACAGCATGATTCTGGTGTGTATTAGGCTCCCCACAATAAAAGGTCAATCTGAATGTGGTCTTCTCACTCAATGTGCCACAACAAGGTAGTAAAGTTAGGCAGTAATTGCCTCGGCCCCAAAAGGATAGTTGACATCGAACCATATCAATGACAAAGCACAGCACTAACAATGTGTCCCTGTTATGTTTGCACATACTTTGGAATTATGAAAAGGTCAACCTTGGTTTCATTACACCAAAATGCATTTTCCTCAGAGATTTCAGTTGTGTTTCTGCAAAATTTTGAAACCAGGGTTGAACTTTTCGGCAATTATTTCAACAGGTACCTTTTGTGCAAATTGCTAGACAGTTATTGTGTTCTACATGTCAATGTCTCTCTCCTCACCCCAGACGACTGCCCCCCACAGTGTCTTGTGGTCTGCTCAAGGTTTCTTCCCAATAGGTACTTTTTCCTTATCTCCATCACTCAAGAGCTCGCTCATGTGGCGTCAGTATAAATAAGGAATGTGGCAAGGGACCTACTCCATGAGGCAATGGGCCTACTCCATGTGTGAACATGCCCTCAGACTTTGTGATATCGCCAAGTTTTTATGTCCACTGTGGATAGTGTATGTACACACAGACATACACATCTTATATTGGAGCGTTTATTAATAAATGGGCACTAGACTAAGTTCCAGAAGACCAGATTTCTGCTTTATTCAGTACAAAGTCATTTCAGAGTTTCCATTGTTTTCTTCAGTTACCAGCTGTACAGAAGCCTGCCAATGATCACATATATGTTTGAGTTATTACAACTATATTCCCATTGTGCAACCTTATGTTATATCCCTAGTCACTGTCTCAGTAACTGCACACAAGCTATAGTGATATTTAAGATTAACCACAATAGATTAGGTTTTCACATTATGAAAGATCAATTTTAAAACACTGTCAAATGAGTCATCCAGTCAATAATCTTCATGATCAGTATCAGCATCAATACACAGAAGTTAGATCTACTTAAATTAGTAAAGGCTCTTCTATTTTTTTCTGGAGGTTTACAAGCATTTTACATATTAAATTACACTGGAAATTATACAGACAGACACTGAGATGAAAACAGGGTCCTGGAAACAGTATTCAGTGGTGGGTTCTGCTTCGAACGGTGAGCTAGATGACAGCCAAAACACACCACTGACACTAAATATATATAGATATATTATGCATTATTATGATCTATTTATTAACACAATATCAGGGAGTTTTTACTAATTGGAGTGGATCCGTTTTATGAATCTTCCCATCTGCATTTCAATAGCAAAACATGTCAGGGAAATTACCCAAAGCAATATGATGCAAATGTGCAGTGGTTGGAAAAAAAAATATTAATTTGACACTGTGCCATTGTTGCTGTAATGTGCAATAAAAAGCAAGATATAAAGGCAAAAAAAAAGGAAGAAAAAAAACATAGGGCTTGGGACATTGCCACTCGGCCAAACTTCCACTATCTGAATATAGTCAAATACCACAAAATGCAAGAGTCACTGGCTACATGGTAGATTAATGTTTTAGAGTTCAATCTTCATAACATCCATCCATCCATCTTCTAATCCGCTTAATCCTCACAAGGGTCGCGGGGGGTGCTGGAGCCTATCCCAGCCGTCTTCGGGCAGTAGGCAGGGGGACACCCTGAACCAGTTGCCAGCCAATCGCAGGGCACACAGAGACGAACAATGATCCACGCTCACACTCACACCTAGGGACAATTTAGAGTGTTCAATCAACCTTCCATGCATGTTTTTGGAATGCGGGAGGAAACTGGAGTACCCGGAGAAAACCCACGCAGGCCCGGGGAGAACATGCAAACTCCACACAGGGAGGCCGGAGCTGGAATTGAACCCGGTACCTCTGCACTGTGAGGTCGACGCGCTAACCACTGGACCACCGCCCTTCATAACATCAATCTTTAAAAAGAAAACCACTCAAGGTAAAAATGATCAAGCTTCTATTTAAAAAAAAGACGTGTGCAGCATTACGTTTCCTTCAGCATCTGCACCTCTAAAGTTCAGCTCAAAAAGTTAAGGCGTTACAAGTGACTTCCTTCGTACCTGTACTTCTTTTAGTATTTCGGATATGGCGCATATTTTTTGGTTCATAACCCTGGTGAATTAAAGAGTAGTAAGGCGACTCAGCTTCAGGGCCAGATTGTCTGGTGAAAAACCGATAAAAAATAAGGAGTGTAATTTTGACGATACATCCCCAAACCAAAACCCCACTGGATGGTAACTAGGCTGTCTCTCATATAGCACTTTTCTACCTCGGGTACTCAAAGCACTTTACACTGTTACCACATTCACCTACTGATGACGCAGTATCAGGAGCAACTGGGGTTCACTCTCTTGTTCAAGGACACTTTGACATGGTTGCAAATGCCAGGGTTCAAACCACCGACATCTATGTTGGGAAACGACCGCTCTACCACTAAGCCATGCCGCCCCTACAGAGGCCAAATCCTTGTCACATTTGTATTGGTACCGAAACATGATGACTTAAGAGTTTTCATCTTGAACAAGAGTTGTTATCGAGTGGTTACAAGTCAACTTACTTGGGTCAAGATGAGGAGTGACCACATTACAACATGTGTGCATACATACACTTACAATGTGACACAATCTAACATGGATCAGGAGGGTAAATGTGGGTGCACGCTGACTGCAGAGAAACATGTAATAATAGGCTGCTTGAAAGACAGGAGGACACCCAGGCACCACTCATTCTCTACTCAGTAAGAGCTGGCAGAGGCTGTGGCGATTCTTTTCCCAATGTACACCCTTCAAAGACAAAACAAACAGGAAATTATTGACATGAAAATAGGGTCCAAATGATTAGAAACATCACTGACATAATTAGAATTGGATTGTAACAACCTATTTGTATCAAACCGTTTATTTTATTAGGACTAAAGCTTTTGTGTGTAGGAAACATCTAAATATTCTTGGTATCATTTTTTTAAGGCAAAACCCAAATCATTAACATGGAAAATATACTGTATTATAAAGTAACACGATGGACAGACAATAATATCGACTTTGACAATTAACTAAGGCAGTAGTCCCAAAACCACCTGGCCATGCACCAGTACCAATAGACTGTACAAAAATATTTGATTGATCATCAGAGTCTGAAAAGTTTATTTTTAAAATCGGGTGCATCTACCCGTTAATTAAATTAAAATGTGTGAATGGCTATTAAACATACAACTTCTTACCCGATTCCGAGGGCGAGGATGTGTGAAATGAGAAGCGACGGGATGAAAACTTTGAGGAATTCAGAAGAGAATACGCCGCCTTTCTTCATAACTCCACTTTTTCTCATACTAAGGGATACTGCGCGTCGGGGGTGCCTGAAATGGAATTCCCTGAAATAATACAAAAACGATTAGCAACATACAACTTCAGACGAAAAAAATGTAAAAAGTAAAAGCCAACATAAAGCAAAACAGGAAGGAGCCTCACTTGGGTGGAATGTTTTCTGGTCTGCTGGACCAATCAGCAACCCAGTCGACTTCTTTGTTCATAAGGATATCATCCTCTCTGTCTTTGTCTGTGCCTTCTTCTTCTGACTACAATTGTAAAGGGACAAGATAGTTAAGACTGAAAGATGACCATAACCATGAGGTACAGTGGACCCCATTAAATCAAACACTGCTGAGGTTGTACAGTTTTCAATGTTTTTTTTTTCCTTGGCTTAGTGTTTGTATGATCCCACCATAAGTTGGTACCAGTGATGGCAAAGATATGTTATGAAGTCCATCACACCAGAAATAGAACTTACTGCAACATGAAAAAGTGGAACCTGCATCTGTTTTGGTTGCTATGGCTGAGTTAAAAAAATAAATAAAAGCTGAAAAGAATATATGGAATGCAGTTAGCTGTGGTCAGTCTTTATTTCAGCTTCATCTTTCAAACATATGCAATGATCTCTCTTCGAAGTGGCCACTGAATCCGCCGCACAGATCTTCAAAGGTAAGGTCATATACATAAATACAGTAATTGTTTTTACACATTCAGCCTTCACAAATAAGGCCGTAGCATTATTCAAAACGTGTTTACTGCTCTTACAGTTTGTTTATTATTTTAGAGTGACCTAGTAAGAAAAAAAATGCTTTTGGCAAGAGGTGGGGTACACTCCAGATTCCAAAGTGAAATTGGGTTTTTGAAATACAAATCAATACATTTATTTGTTTTTTGTTTGTTTTTTTTTTTTACCTGACCATCTCTCAGACTTGACATGTCCACATCAAAAGTGATTTGACCCTCATCATTCTGGTTGGGACTCTGTGGCCTGTGAGGACTGAATTGACACAATTGTGGTTAATACGTAGTATGTGTCTACACTCCTGACACCATGTAGCACATATCATAAACCCCACCTATCACATGAAGAATTGCTTGGACTGGATTCGTGCTGAGCGTCCAGGAGGATCCTCTCCATGTCGCCATTATGAATGGAGGAGGATGACGGCACATGTTCTAGTCCTCCGATTAAGGTTTCATCCATCTCAGGCACCACTTCTAAGGTTTGACTCGTGCCGGTGTTTGCATTTATTTGGTCTGCAGTAGCTGATATTTGCAAGCTTGTGTGCACGCCCTGCGCTCCTGCATTTCCATTCAACTCTAACTCCACCCAAGAACCTTGGAAACAGGAAAGAATTGTATTCCACTTATCCCGATCAACAGAAAATCTGACATAAGAATCATTAATGCATTAAGCGTTGTATTCAAAATATTTGCACTGCATCATTGATGGCGTTCATCTTTGTGCCACTGCCCTACAAACAGGGAGAGCTTTTTTCTAGCCAGGAGGGCGTTATGTAATCCGTTATAGCCAGGCTGGCTGCACACAGAATGCAAACTAATTGCACGAAACACCTCTTTCATCCATTCATATTATCCTCCGAGACAGAATTGACTGAATGTAAACGACTGAACGACGTGTCCGCGCATGGTCAAATATGTGTTTATAACAATGACAACAATGCAGGTCTCTGTTGCGTAACAGACAGGCTGCTCATCCATGTCGCTGTAGCAGATATGATGCTCGTATACTTACAATTATTTATTTATTTATTTTGCGTGTGAACAAACCCCGGGGCAGTTATTCGTCTAAAATGTGTGTTTTTTTTGTTTTGTTAGCAGTGATAATGCAATCGTTAACGTCCCTTGACCACTGCCCTTTTTTCGATTAAAGAGATACGTGGCTGCTATAACAACGGTAGCATTCTAAAGCCCCCAAAATATTGGTGACGGCAAGGAGAATCTTCAAAAAAAAAAAAAGACAATTGTAATATTTTTGTCTCAAACTTGTTTTTGTTTTGGTTGGAGTCCGCCCAACATCGAGTGGGTATGTGATTGGCTACAATTCCCATCAGTTAAAGTCAGTCCGAAACCCCATTGGCTATCTCTCAGCAACGTCAATTTTACATCACCCGCCGCCACTCCAAGAGGATGAGGAAACGCTTTTACCCAATATAACTTTAACCAAAATTGCCTTTGCACCATTACGGTAGAACGACGAACATCCGTTCAGGAATATCGACATCGCTTCAGGTTATCGTAAACATTAGATAAGAACGATATGACGTACCGTGAAGTCCGGGCTCTTCGTTATTGTTTTGTTGAGCAGCAGCGGTGGACATGTTGACTTCTGTTTTAGCGAGTCAACATGACCAGGGCGTGTGCGCATGCGCGTAATCTGTCCAGAGTCCATACAAGATCGCGAAGGCCGTCTTTAACTTGGTAAAGGACGCGTATGCCTGCATCCATCCTTGGGTATACGTGCAACTTTTATGATAAAATACGTTTACGTTTCACTGTATTGTGAGGTCAAGACCCAAACAAGTCTTGACAAAAGCACAAGGCTTTATGTGATCAGTGATCCATATGGTGTAGGCTTTCATCATCGATACTGGACAAAGTACGAAGTAAACTAAACTTCGTCATTGGTGCCTGCGACACGTTAAACAATTCATTAAGATGTTGAGGTAAATGTCACTCACTTAGTAAAACGGTAATTAAAGCTTTTTTGTGTGATCTTACGCTCCAGACAAGTTACACTCATTGGTCGAATTATTTGAATGTCACATTTAGTTTCGAAATGTGTTGTGTCGATTCCATCTGGAAAATGTAATCACAAAGAGTAGTTTTCCACGCTAGCCGGACTTCCAAAATGACTTGCTTTCTTCAAGAACTTCTTGAAATAAGACATACAATTTGAAAGAAATAAGACAATTTCAACATCGCAAAAATAAGAGTGTTATATATATATATATATATA